AAACTAGTGATTTTCAAGCACTCATATTTGAAGATCCCACAAAACCTCTACCCCCGACAAAGGACAATACATTGGAGAGACCACAGAATCCCGATGGGGTTGGTACTAAAAGGAGCAAATCTAAAGATGAACCCGAGGAATTCGATATCAAGAAAGCTCGTAATGAAGTACTTCGATTTGCTATGAATAATCAGCGAGTTATCAAAAACAAAAAGAAAATGGAAACATTCCAACTTATCAAAATGGGGGCAAAGCCACCAAAGAAAGAGTATAAAAACTACAAAGAGCTATTAGGCGAACGTAAGCGTTTAAAGCAAATTCGGGAAGAGCGTAAGAAATTCCATCAGTTGGGCAAAAATCAGACAGGTGCTGCTTCTGTGAAATGCCGGAGTAAATCAAAGATGGAGAAACAGCAAAAGAAACGTGCTCCTGTAACCGCAATAGACCAGAATTATGGTGTTGTTAAGCCAAAATTAAAGAAAAAGAAATGAAATTTGAAATAATTTCAATAAAGTGAAAATTATATATGTAATATTGTAATTTTTTATGTTAATGGAAGGCACCAAGACTAATTTTCCTTAGTTATCGGAAGCGTTTTCTGAGAAATATAGCACAAGTGAAAAACTTAAATATTCAAATAGTTATCAAATATTTTCGCTTATTGTAACCTGCCAATGGTCTAAGGATAATAGTCTTGTCCTGAACTCCACTAAGTCATATGTATTACCAGTTTCAAAGAAGAAACTTAATATTACTGCCATACCCCTTTTAGTTATTGGTAATATGTAAACCATTACAATTTGTAAATAAAAACACCAATTTGGGCTTTATAATTAACCCGTCTTTGACCTGCACTGATCACATAAAGTTTATGGTACTCTCAGAAGTCTACACCAAAATGCAGTAATTACTACTAAACGTTTTTTATTAATAACTTTTGATCAGGTAAAAAAAGTGAATTTCCGGATTCTTGTTCCTAGAGTCCAGGCGCGTTTAATGGTACCCTCATTCCTACATTTTGATTAATTTGGGGGTTGACTGCCCACCTAGGTAAAATTACCCTAATGTTCTCTTCATATATACCAATTTTTGTTGTACTAAACAAGAACACAAATCTTATTGTACTAATGTAACTCTTTGCTGATAAATAAATATTAAAATAAACAAAGAGTTCGATGAAATTAATCGATTGTATTTTACATGACACAAAAGTTCGATTCCATTAATTCTAATGCATCTCTGCAAAATTTTCAAAAGTCATTAATCAGCTGTGATTACGTGAACTGGATTTTATTCTTAGCGAGTGCAAAATATTGCCCAAATCCTTAAATTGTTTAAAAGGAGATAATGTTCCGTCACCCGTGTTCTCTGTGTACAATTGCTCGTCGGGGATATACCCAGGCAGCAGGAGTGAAAACCCCACAAAGCTCCAGTAGCAGTGCCGGTGTCAATGCTAATGTGCCTGGCTTGAGCAGCAAAATTGTAAAGCCATCATCTACACCATTGGGTCCCGGCGCTTCTCACACTAGCGAATATAAGGTGCCAGAGTACTATTCTTTTAACCGTTTTAGTTATGCCGAAGCTGAAGTAGAAATTGCGAAGTATCGTCTGCCACAACCATCGGCAAACAAAAAGTAAAATGTGTGGCCGTTGTACGAATTACGGAAGAAATTGCGAAAATAAAGTCTTAATTATTTAAAATTAAATTTTATTCATTGTGTACAAACTATTATTAATGTTATGAAAGTATGTGAATTGAAGTTTATACAATCATCTCCAGTTCACGGGCATAGAAAATAGCTTGCTCTGCCAACTCAACAGATGGTAACGCTTCTTTGGGTTTTGCAACTTTTTCTACGAAATTGTAAACACCATCGGAGCCTAAATTCCAGTTTCGTTTCTGTCCAAAAGCTTTTACTTCCTCAATCGAGTTTAAGTTTAATCGTTTGGCTGCCTCTTTCGCGGATATCTTTTCGTACGACTTTTCAATGCAAGCGCCGATTTCGTCACGCACGGTATTAAGCAGGATGTCCATAAAATGATTATAAATTTCCGACGGTGCTGAACTCTACAAACGTAAATATAAAATTTTCTTAGTACCTACATACAGTATTATTCGATGCAATGTACAATATTAACGAATACCTTTGCCTGGAAAATTTTATTGTATCGTCCCTCCATTATATATTGTTCCAAAGCCAAAATTGGACGAATATATTTGTTATTCTGAATTGTATCTGCTGACAAAAGTTCTAATTCGGTGTGGAATTCAGAAACTCGGTTTACTGATAGCAAGTATAGTAGATTTATACCCAGTAATTTGTACATATTCTCAGACTCGCCAATTTGTTGCCTAAAATTTAACGAATTATTACAAGTATAAATAATTTCTTTTTTATCAGTTTAATTTTACGTACTTATAGTCGTAGTAATAGCACTTTAACTGAGACATGTACCGTTCATATGCTGGTATGTCTTTGTTTGCGACGCTATATTCGACTGCAATTTCAAGGACATCACGCGCTAATACCATTTCATTTTTGGACGTCTTAATATCGCCAGTTGGTAAAAATGCTAGTTTAGTCAATTCAATCTAAGAAAAATAATTGTGAAGTTGATGAACCGCTTGTGAGGTTATATTCGAATAGAGGAAATATACCTTCAAGTTGTCTACCAACTGGCCACACTTTTTAAGATTTTGTGGCTTTTTCGACCACTCGCTTTTTAGTTCTTTATATAAATTTTCAATTCCAGTCAGACTCGCCATTTTTAGTATACGCACACAAGTTAATTGTCCAAAAAATGCACTGACAACTTTTCCAGAATGATTCGCTGAAATTTACAAAGTTTTTGTTTTTTATTCTTTGCTTTGTTTAGACATTTGGACTATCAATTTTGACACTGTAGAGTTTTTCTCAGTTGCTCTCATCTGACATACGCTGTTACCAAAGGAAGCTATTACAATTTTCCTGAAGGCGTGGATACTCTGCCATTCGATGAAAATCGCTTGTTTTCTAATAAAACTCTGTAATGCAACATTGACTTACGTCAATGTAAGAAATTTATGTAAGGCAATGTATTATATTTGGACTTTTACGCCAGTCTACGGGCAAGAATGTCGTGAACGAAATTGGAATAGATGTAATTAATTCGCAGCCGCCATTTTCCCAAAATGCAACTCTCCAACCCTGACCAAGAAAGCAGCCGATCTCTGTCCCTCTTATGTAATACCGCCTTATAAATGTCAAATTGACGCCATTTTTGTCATCCGCCACCAAATATTTGTGTCACATTCGCACACAGTTAACTGAGTTCGTGAAGTGAAATTAGTGTTGTGAAAATATCGCTGCGATTGCGTTTCTTCACATCGAAATGTCATAAAGCGTTGGTTAATCAGCGCAACGCATCTTTGTAAAAATACAATAGCATCATTAAAATTGTGAACAAAATTTGCTGAACAGTGGTATCAAATTAGATATACATATATTTAACTGAAGGTAGACATTTCAGAATATTACGCTGCCTCTTGGATGCGGCAGCGTATCTTGTTCATTGGCTGTTTCGAGTGTGTAACAGCAGCCTACGTTTTCTGCAATATTAAACTGATCAATTTGTCTTTCCTTGTGTGCGGTTGAACGACTGAGAGCCAAATTGCTTCTAAATAGGTGGATATTTGCAATTTTCGTAAAAATGTAAGCATTTGGTGCAGTTGGTATTGTGCTATTATTTCACTGCTGGCTCGTGTTGAGGTACAGTAGTGTAAGCTGAGCAGTTAATTCTATGTCGCTATTTTCACGTTGTTGGGGCTCTGTGTTTGGTTTGACCACTGGTCTGAGGAATTTTAGTGGAATGTTTCAGAAATAGGATTAGCATATTAGTTCATGTGATTCGCGCCAATATTTGACATTCGGAGGAAGGCTTTAAAGAGTTGCCACACGGTCATATCGTCGTTAGGGGATGTTAGTTACACACTAAATTGCTATTGAAAGCGAGAAATTAAAGCAGGAGTATAATTAGTTTCAGTACTTTTTGTATATTTTCGGTATATAATGTTATTTTATTTAATCTAATTAATAATTACTTATGTATTACACTTATCCAATCCGCAGTAAAATACATGCGAAGGAAGAATGCGCGTTGGTAAGAAAGCTACCGTCGTGGAGGCGAAGAAAACGCGCTCTTGTGTCGTGCGATTGGAAAAAGTTTCGTCTCCACCAATAAAAATAACTAGAAGTAGTGGGATAAGTCCACGTGGAAACATACAAATACTCTCAGATGAGAAAAAGTTCAAAGGGCCTTTGAAGAAGCGGCCAATTGCTCATAGCAGTAGCGCAGCAGCATCCGGAAGTTCTACTACTCCTAAATCTTCTCTGACAACAAAAGCCAAAGAGATGAAGGATAAATTTAAAACTCCTGTGAAAGTTGTGAAAGTTCAGAAAACTGAAATAGCTAAAGTTGTTGTGCCGGAACCACCTCCATCCACCATAGCCACCGGCCGCTCAAGAAGAGCAATTAAGCCGAACCCTAAATATGCAAGCGAAGATATGGTCACTCCAAAGATAATAAGAAACGTATCGGCTCTTGCTGGAACATCATCCAAAAGACCATTAGCTCTTCCGGGGAAAACCCGTAAAAAGTCAACAAGTAGCTCAGAAGATTTCTTTAATAAAGACTCTAGCGACGATTTTGGTCCCAATGATCTGGATGATGAGTTAGATGAAATGTACAAGGAAATACAAAAGGAGTCAGATTCCGATTTCTCAGATGACGGTTTAATGAAAGAAACACCGTTAAAAAGGCGTGCTAGATCACGGAAAAATATGGAGGCCACACCGACAAGCACACCACAATCAACACCGCGACCAACGCCCCGACCAACGCCACGACCAACGCCACGGCCCACGTCAACGCCACGGCCCACGTCAACGCCACGGCCCACGTCAACGCCACGGCCCACAGCAACGCCCGTGCATAAAGCCCAAGTATCGCAGCTACAATTGCTACGGAAATCGTTTGCAGCCAGCGTGAATCGCTCGATTGAGCCATTAGCAGGAATCAAACGCGCCCGTAATGACTCTGTGACCGGTGGCAGCAGCAGTGATAATGACGCCCAAGCAGCAAGTGTTGCTCGCAAACGATTCTTGTTAACAAAGTCGGCGACTGAACGTGACAACAAAAAATTAAGTACTAATGACATTACAATGATAGTGCGAAAGGCGAATCAAACGCTCAATGGCAGCAAAATAACGAAAATAAAACCAGAAATTATGAATAAAGAACAACCAAAGCGCAATGCATCCATTATTGAAAAACGTACACTTATCGATGGCAATAGCGTCTCAATCAGATTGCAGCAGCAAACTAAATCTCTTCAGACGATACGTAACGCTAGTAATACTGCTCCACCATCAACAACCGCAACGCGCACTTTGATAACAATGCCAGCCAAAACACAAAATACTCGTGTTTTAGCCGTGGCAAAGCGTCGAAGCGCATCGCCTGCTCCCCCAAAGGTAGCAAAAGTAGTCAATGTGGAGGAAGCTCCTGAAAGCAAGCCAGTGCATGTTCCTCCGATGACTGTGGATGACTTCGAGACAATGCCCACATTTACAATCGTAAACATCAATGATATAATTAATAAAAAAGGGGATGTATTAATTTCAAAGACTGGCAAGCCGCAAAAGCCAGATGAGAGTATGAAAGTGGATTACGACTTACCAGAGCAAGGCAACGTAAGTGAACAGAAAGCAGGCCCTGGCCGCCGCAAACTTTTGGTTACAGATAAGGCCAGCGAAGTGACTCGTTCAAAGAGCCCTTTAACGACAACAAGGAAACCAGCACAGAAAATCCTCAATCATACACTACTTAAAAGGTCATCACCATCGGAGAGTGTTGGACAAAGAAGCAAAGTTAACTCTAGCATTTCACCTGATAAACCAGCGCCTCGAATACTCAATTCAATGGTGGCGAAAAAAACTCAGCCGGTTAAGCCGATGATTGCTAATTTTGAGGATTCGGCAGATGATGAAACTTATCCACTATCTCTTGACGGTGATGACGAAGACAATGAGGAAGACGAAAACGAAAACGATGTAAATGATACAGTCGAAGCGGAGGAAGATGAGTATGATCCGGACGATCCTTTTGAGACTAGTAAGCATAAGCCTCCTACCAGCACTCCATACCAAGCAAAGAAACCGACGCCGCCAGCAAAAGAGAATTCACTAACAGCACTTAATCGGAAGCCAGCAAAAAATGCAGTACAGCGAAAACCCTCACCGGAAAAAGTGGTGATATCACGTCAGGGAGATAAAATTATAAAAAAGATAACCTGTTTTGAAACGTGGTATGTCATCATGTCCGAAGAAGAAGCGCCAAAAGTAACCCGGAACATACTCGATTTACCACTCATCAAATTGGCCAACGCAGCGAGCCATATCAAACTACCAACCGAAAATTGGAAGAGTAAAGTAACTCTGCATGAATTATCACCAACACTGATCGCCAAATCCAAACTGATCACCTATACGGGCGACATAAGTGAATATAACATCGCAGAACAGGATCGTGGTCGCTATCAACCCTCCTGCGTTATGTTTCGTCGATCAGTAAATGATCGTACGAAATCGCGACTTCCTTACGATAGGGCGGTCATATTCAAGAATAGGACTTTCTTCACCAATATTGAAGGCAAAAATGTTAAATTGGTCGGGGCACCCAGTACGGTCAATTCAGCGAAGGATGTAGAAATAATGCTACAAATAGTGGATTCATTAACATTGCAAAGTTCATTTGTTGAGCCAGCAAACACAATCCAATAGGCAAAGTTGTCAAAGGAACAACGGCACAATGCAGAAATTCAGTACACATTTTGTATGTATATCCAGGACCATATTATATCTACTTTAATTCGTAATAAATTAAAATTTAAACTTAAGTTATAAAACAAAAAACACGTAAACGAGAAGCTCCAGCGAGATTCCAACTTCATAAACTGTAATTGAATTACTTAGGTATGTTTGAAACAAAAAAACAAAAAATAATAATCATTAGGTTACTGGAGTCTAGGAAAGTCGATTAACATTTTTTGCAATACCATTAAAAGTTCAAATTCGTACTGTGCAAATTTGTTATAAATTTTGTCATGGTAAAAAATGTTGCTCAGGCTTCCTAAGTTACAGTGGCGGTACATACATTTGTATGTAATTACTGTATGTATAAAACATCATTTACATAAATTCGTTATTAAGTGCAGACCAATTTACATTTATAGAAAGTCACTTAAATACGAAATCGCGCTAGCACGTAGGTGTTGAGAACCGTATACTTCACGACCAATTTATCTAATTTCATAGCATACTTGCATAGATGCATATTATAATATTAACGATAACTATACAATATAGATATGTGTATGTATGTATATATCCCAATTCATATACATATAATATACATATACATATTTGTAAAGTAATTCAATAGTGGTGAATTAGTGTGAAAAAGAAATAACATCTCTCAACTTTGTTAACATAATTATGGTTATTTTAAGTTACGTATGTATCTATTAAGTATTTTATCGTAGACATTAAAGGCCTACTTAAATCTTATTTATACAATTCTAAACGAAAAAACAAGCAGTTGGTAAATAAACCACTTTTTTATGTTTATATAAAAGTTTTACTTTCATGTATAAAACTCTGATAAAGGTGAAGTTGATAAAGGTGAAGTATGATTGCTTTTGTTTTATTAAAATATATCTTTTGAATTTTAAAATCAGTTATTGATATGCAAATAGTTTTTGAGAAGACCATAACAAATGCACCCTTTTAAATATGTATTGGAACATCAGTTACAAGCAAATATTTGTAAAATCTATATTGTCTTAAACTCAATGCCTTTAAGGATAACTAACATATATATTTCCTTAATTGATTGCGTACTAGAAAATGTAAGTTACTTTGATTTGCCAATAAAGAAATATCGCAATAAAAAAATGTTTTTATTTATTCGTGGGTTTCTGGAGGTGGCAACTCCCTGTTGCAAATCGCGAGGGGTGGCATCATTGTTGGAGTGCGTTCGGCGATAGAGTGGTCTGTATTAAGAGCTTGAAATGAGATATAGATATATATATCTCCGATTCCAACAAAGTGGTTGTAGATCGCATAAGCGGCGTTCCAAATACATATAACTTTAATTGAATTCCATGGGCCATTTTTAAGGTGAGTTTACACGTGACTCGAAGGTAGCAGTTGATACAAAAAATAGGCATACAATTTATGCCAAGTTTACCAAAGTTAAGGTTGCGGGCATATTCTTAACGGAACTATTCGTTGCTTCGTTATGTCTAAATAATTGCGTTGGGCGTTATGTTAAAGATGAAAAAAAAATCGAAGCACCAGAAAAGGATCCGTTTTACCAACACTGGTTTTTATTTAATAGATCCTTTTTGATCCATTTATAATAGGATTTCTAGCGAAGATCACTCTTTATAAACTTTATTTTGCAATACCATTACAACTTTAAACCTTCAACTTTTATGTAAAACTTTCGCCAAACTAATGAGGTTTTATGAAGCGATCGCTTAACCAACACTGCTCCGTCGTTGCCTAATACAACATTTTCGATTTGGGATTTCTAATATGTACTTCGATTTAGCCGTCATTTTGGTTAATTACGCAGCATATTTAATATAAAAAAAAAAAAAATACTTTAAAACCTATAGTTAAGAAAAATTCAATTTTCATAGTTATAAAAAATTAATTCAAATGGCAGATTGAACTGTCAAAACCAAAATTGGGTATTCAACGACATTCATTTTAGAATGGAAATCGCACATATTTTTTAGAAAGAAAAATACATTCATACATATATTTAAAAACTGTATATGTATATACATATGTATAAAAAAACAAGAAATCTTTACATTTTATTAAAGTTCTTTTGACACTGACTTTGTTCCGACGATACTGCAACTTTTACATATCTTCATTAAAAATGTATTGCTTTTCAGGGTTTCTTGAAATTTATATTTTTTTATTAAATTTTGAAAGTTTTCTTAAAATTTATATTTTTTTATTACATTTTGAAAGTTTTCTGACTAGTATACATACTAGAGTACGACTGATTAATCGGCATCGTCCGTTTTTGGCCGATTTTTAGCCGATTATTTTTACCTTTTCCGCAATTTTAACAAATGTTGATCTAAATTTGAAACTATTTAATCAGATTTGTTAGAATTATTTTGAGTACGCAGTTTTTTTAAATTTTAGTATAATAAAGTGCAAGTTTAAGTAGCTAGGTAAGTGTTGATCTTTCACAAGTTTTTTGGTCACGCAATTTGAATGGGCTGCCAGCCAGCTGTTCAATTTAAACTCAGTTTACTTAATATAAGTTTAAACTGGCACTGAAAAACTGGCCCTAAGTATTGGTACAATTTTCCTTGAATTAATCGCTGAATTCCTAATACTTTTATACAAATTGTATTCAATACAACACCTTTATAGTCAGCAGAAGCTGTATATTTTTACTACTGTGAGTATAACTAATAATTGATTTCCACCAAGCTACAACTCTACAAATTCTTGGCTCTTACCTGAGCTCTTAACTGCAGTTAAGCCTTTGGTGGAAATAGGCTATAAGAAGTGTGATTTCGAATGAACTATTTTTTTTTTAACATTGAATAACGAAAATACTATAAACCAAAGTATTGCCATGATATATATGCATAGGCGATATATTGGCCCGTAGTCATAGTCAAAATAAAGTCGACTTTAAAGTTAGTTGCAGCTTTTTTGACAGATATCCCATTGAAAATTATGTCAAAAAGCTGCAACTAACTTTAAAGTCGACTTTATTTTGACTATGACTACGGGCCATTATTTTTAATACATATTTATGTAAGTACATACATAAATAAGTGAATAGATTTGTGAATGTTTATTTGTTTTGTAATGTTATTTTTTTATGTTTTCCTTTTGTTATTATAAAAGTTTATCAAAAACATTTGTTCTTGAATGAATTTATATTCAGGTTGTTTTTTTTTTAAGGAATCGGCATCGGCCATTTTTTTGTCTTAAGGCCGCTTAATCGGCATCAGCATCGGCATCGGCCAAAAATAGTTTGTATATTACGTTTGCATATTGTTATATTACAGGGGATGACAAAAAAATATTTAAAATTATATGTATGTATTTCGACTTTTTTGTTAACAGTATAAAAACTTCCATTAAACATTTATTTTTGTTAAAGCTATTAAAATTTGTTTACACCTTAGGGCAATGAAAACAAATCTTTATTAATTAAATCTTAATTGAAGTATGTAGTAGGTAGCACTTTATTTAAATTTGTATATTTTTATAAAGTTTACGATTTCTTAATTTAGTTATCTTTAAAACTATTTATAATCATTCTATTACAATTTCAAAATTTTTACATGTGTGCTCATTGTAGGAACGTAAAACTGCCTTTACATGAAGCGATTTTTTGACTGGCGATAATCGTCTGCAAAAGTTGGTTTGTTGTCTACTTGAGGCAAGCGATTTTTGAATCACCATTTACACGAGTTATTTTTCTGGAGCAATGTTGAATCGCCTAGAAAATCGCCTCATGTAAATCGAGCTTAATGTTTAATAGGGTCAACTTAGAATAACAAATAGTGCATGTATTTTGGATGAAGGTATTTAATTTTAAACTTCAATGAATAATAGTGTCACTTTAAAAACTGGATTTCTGAGATTAAAATGTTGCTTAAAGTATTTTTAATTTATGTTCTTAATTAGGCGATTTACAAGCTGTCAGAACGAGTCACATAATCGTGTCTCAATAGTTTAACAGTAAAAATAAGTTGAGATGATTCGTAAAAAACCACACAACATTGTCAACGGTTTTTATTTTTAAAACACCTTGGCTGCATTTATTTATTCATTCTGAACGTTCGGAAGAAACTTTTTTGTTTATTTATTCTTTAGAATGTTCCTCATGATATGTTGACGTATATTTCAAACGTATTCTGTTTATTCCGGCTGTGAAATGGGATTATCCGGAATGTATAAAGAAACGCAACCCTTGTGAATTCCTTAAGAAACTTTTGATACTAGAAGTTAACAATTTTTGAAAAATTTGTTAGATTTATTCATTTAAATGTATAAACTTACGATATACGTAAATTTAAAATGTGTCAAACAGCATTACGTGAACGCACCTCATAAAGCAAAGAGTTAAGATCAAATCAAAATCAAAAATTTATGCTTACATAATTTATAAAATTATGGTAAGTTAGATTTAAACATTTGTGTACCGAATTTACCCCTCGTTTAAGTTTGTGCTTAAGTTCACCAATTTGTATAAATAACTTCGGGCACAGACAGAAAGTTCACGAAATTTTCAAGATTTACGCAACGTTTAAGCGCTTAGATGAATACCCTAATTGAATTAGGTGTGAAATGTGAAAATTAAGAATTTGAAAATTGCATTTGCTTATGCCTCGAAAAGATTTAAATGAAATGACTGATGCGAGACTTTCGGCTGTGTTGCTGCTAATAAAATTTCGCATTTCCCACTTGTGCAATGCATTTCGCATTAACGCCTGAATACCCTTAGCGGTACGACATACCCTTACAGGAAATGATCGGAGAATTAAACTGGCTGAGCGTGAAACAGAAATTTTTTTATCTAGCTATGAAATTCGTGTTTAAATGACAATATACAATAACAATGTTGGGTATTAAAAAATACCCGTGCCATTACGTTCATCAAAATAGTCACGTATGTTTCCAGAAGGCATTTTGTAAATTACATACATTTTTCCTCATGGTGTTGTTGTTGTTGTAGCCGCCCAGATCGGTTAGTCGCCTTGGGTTAGTCCCTCGATCGTTGTTGTCAAGCTCTACTAACGGTAGCCCCAGGAAGCGTGCAGCCTCGACAGGGTCTGTCCATATGGACAGGGGCGTTAGAGAGGTGGAATTTAGAGGGCATACAAAGAGTCATGGGGCGACTCTCCGCATGCCGGGCATTCATTGAGAACGTCTTCGTTTAGTCAGGCTCAGGTATGAGTTCAACCTGCTGCAGTAACCAGAGCGCAGTTGGGCTATTGTGGTTCGAGTCTCCCGAGGCAGACGACGTTCGGTCTCATGAACGAAAGACACAAGATCACGCCTTAAGGAAAGAAAGAAAAAAGTTATTTTCTAGCTGTTGAAATCTCGACGCCATCTTTGTTGTAAGAAGTAAACAACGAAGAGAACGGAGAAAACCGCGAAATTGTTGAACGCATGAAAAATCATTTTTATTATGCAAATTCTTCTAAAAATCATGCCGTTGTGTTAAATTATTCTTTACCTTATGTGTGCACACGTTGTCACAAGCGAAAATTAAGAAAATTGCAGTAAAAAGCCACCACCAAATTGTAAACAACGAACAAATGTAAACAAACGGCTTATGTCAAAATCGCCCTACTTTTTTCATAAGTGCGATTATAACGGGCCACTCTTCTGCTGTCGTGATCTTGTCTTTTTGGTTCATGGTTCGGTCTCGTCCACGTCTGGTCTACATAACTCGAGACTGCCGTTCAAGGCATGGCGATAAGATGTCGGGTCCAGAGGCTGTTTTATGAACCTGTGGACTTTGTCCGTCAGTTCGTAGAGATGCCTTCTGACGTGCCTGGGCGAAAGTTCTTCTGCAAGGAGTTGTCTGTTGGGGGGACCACGTCTGTGGCTCCCAACCAGAAACTGCTTGCAGAGCATTGTGTTATGCTCCTTAACAGGGAGCATGTGAGCCTATTCGTGCAGGTGTTGTTTCGGCGACATCAGAATACATCCTGTCCCTGTCCTGAGTACCGAGTTCTGGCAAGTCTGCTGCTTCATCCACTGCGTCCCACTAGTCCCCGGTGACCACACTGGCGTTGCGTAGTTCAGAACCGGTCGGCCAATTGCCTTGTACGTTGCCAGCAACGTTTCTTTGTCGTATCCTCATGTGTTGCCGGCTAGTCCTGGCTGCTGGC